AACTATATATATTTGAACTTCTTATCCTCTAAAAACTGTTAATTTATTTTGAAATTAAACCATCTTTTATTTTTATTGAGATTTAAAAGAAAAATCCTCGACGAAATAACGATAGCGACAAGGGATGATACCACTAACGCATGGTGGAGAAATACCAATAAATAACGGTACCCGATCCCCTTTGTAACGGTGTCTTCATTGTATGTATTTAATCAATAACGCTAATGAGTTAACTCAAAGATACCGCTTACGCAAACTTCATTTTTATGCCCGTCCAGACAGCCCTGGCTAAATTTATTTGTTTAAAAATTCGACACAAAAGACCCAACCGAGGACAAAGTTAACTCCCCCTGTTTTTACCCTCTCCCTCTCCCCCCCCCCTGTTTCCTAAGGAGCTGATAAATACTTATGAAGTGCGGAAAGTTGGCGAGTGGAACTTGGCTGTATCAAGTTTTGTCCTTTATCGCTTTAATATAGGATGATTTCTTTCAGGACAAAGTTTTTAGCCCTTAGTTGTTGACTCCGGCCATTTGTTTAAAAACAAATGTTTGCTATTGTTGTTGTTGGCTTTTTAAAAATTATTTGACTTTTATCCCAAGAGCAAGTTACAATATTTTTAACGTTATTGTTGTATTATTTTAGAATATTTTTATTCTTTATTTGACAAACGAATTGATGCTGTTGCCATCTGAACGGGGTTATGTAGTTTCCTAGGAGTTTAAGAATTTATAAACAAAAAACGATTAGTTTTTTTTTATTATTCTTTAGGTTGTTGAGAAGATAATAATCAGAATATGTAGTTATTTATAAAGCTTGTCGATGTTTGGACCTAAGTATCTGGGTCATCAGTTATAAAAAATTTAAAAAATCAGAAAAATTATATTTTTTATTGATATCTCATTTGTCTGGTAAAAAATGACAGCATTTCCTGATCATTTTTAGAAAATGTCGAATGCTGTCCTTTTTTATTTACTTATTTTTTGTGTGTATGGATATAAGTTATATAAGAATATAAATTCATTTACGCTTTGAAAGTTAATTAAAAAATAAAATTAGATATTGTTGACCATTGTAATTATGAAATATAATTTAGACTGTTTATTTTTTAATTTGTCTAAATTCCCTGTTAGTCCAGTCAATGAATGATTATAGAAGGAAATGGCGGGGACACAATTTTTGACTTAGGACTAGTAAGGAGGTAAACATACTAAAAGTCTCCACTCCTAGGTGGTGAACCAGATGTGGGAAGGCCTCTAGGTCACCTTTTTCGGATTTTCGCTTATATCTGAAAAACTATCCATCGCATCGGCAAACACTAGTCCAAACAAATTGTCAAAGTCAAAAATTGTATCCTCAGCATTTCCTTCAATACTCCCTTTTCGAGCATTCATTGACTGGACTATCTGCATAAACTATCTTGATTCGCTCATCTCGTTTCCAGGTTGAACATTTTCTGTATGCTTGTAAATTCTTACGACTGTTATACTCACTTTTCTCAAGACGCTCAAAATTAAACTTAAAACAAAAACTGAACACTTACAATTATCTACTTAAGCCCATATGGACCTACGCTTCACAAATTTACGGGACAGCCAAAACTACGAACTTTTCAGTCAAAAACTTTCAGGACCATACCTAAAGCTCCATCGTACGTCACAAACATTACATTACATAAAGACCTTCAAATGCCAACAGTTAACGATAACATACGGACACGCTACAAGCGATTTCACAATAACTTACATGTACATACTAACACACTTAGGAGGCTCAAAAGGCGCTGGACGAGTGATGCCGCTGTGCACTCCTCTCCATCACGCCGATCAAGCCACTACCTGTACACTTACCGACAGCAGACCCGCTAATTCTCATTGCTTATGACAGGTGTGGGTGAATAAATAAAGTAATAAAAAAAATATATTCTTTAAAATTGAGGTTCCTATTAATAAACAATAAATAAAATAATGAATACTGGTTTTAAATTAAGGATAAGTTAATAGTTTCTAGAGTATAAAAAGGGTAAAATATATATAATTTAAAAAATAGGAAAAATGAAATGTAGTTTTATTAATTACATTTAATTTTATTTGTATGTTTTATGATGAAACTACGACGCACGTAGTGACTTTTTGCTAACTATCATAGTTAAAAAAACAGCTAGCTACTTTTATAATGTTGCAAGTGCATAGAATATGAGCTAGATTTGACTCACTTAGTTATTTTTATTAACCATTTGCTCAATTAATACAGTGAACGAAGTCATTAAGTACCAGTTGGTGAATTTTGAGGTTCTACTCTAACCTTTATTAGAGAACAAGAATTTCATAAAGTAGTCTTGGAGTCTTTTTGCTTTGTGAAATCAGACATCATGGGCTTAATGAAACTATTATTTACGTATAAAAGGGCTTTTATTATTTTTTTTTTTGTACTTAACGAGTTATTATATCGATAAATATGATCGAAATTAACAACTTACTTACCTAATTTGTTAAATTTGTAAATTACCTACTTTCAGGTTCAAATCGCCTAAAAGTATACTTTGTGATTTTTTTCAATAAACGGAAGATTTATCATTTAACAGAAAATTGTGTGATGGACATAGTATGATATATATATATATTATACCACCAACTGTTTTATATGTATATACTAAGCTGGACTAAAGCGATTCGATATATTGTGGGTAACCTACTGTATAAATAAATATCAGTTTTATCTCTAATTGTATTTTAACGATACTTTCACCGGATTAAGTATTTTATGGTAAAATTAATCTAGGGACTACTAGGTGAGGGAAAGAGAATTAGCGACTGGATGGTAGTAAATGAATCGTGCGGTGGAGTTGGGAGTTGGGAGTTGACACGGGTTTATTCCTCATTCAGTAACCCGATGCCCCCTGTGATCGATACCAACTCCCGCTTGCTCCCCCCCTGTAATTCCCACTGTTCCTAACTCCAGTTTAGTGGCCATGTACTGCCCTCGTTTTGCGGCTATCCATTCCTGGAATTTTGTAAGTGGTATGTGTCCTACCTTCAAAATCTCATGTTCGTGTATCCTTTCCTTATCAAAGATATTAATAATAGTGATTTAATATTAAATATATTTATCATATTATATATGAGTTATTTATTTTTATTTTGTTCCTTGTTTGACTGAACACCACTTCTCTTCAACGATATTAATAGTCATCTAATGAGTTATTTTCAATACATAGTAAAACTTGCTGTAAAACAGTTATCTTTTGAATTAATTGAAAGAGCAAACTTCTGCGTTATAGAACATTGCAAAGGTGGTTTAATAATATTTTAATATTATAAACCTAAAATTCAGTTGTTACAAATCAGCTTAAATTTACAGGATATAGGAATTAGAGGAATTATAGTTCCGTAAATAATAGGAAATATTTAAGAGATGGAATTAGACTTGAAAAGCAACGAGAGAGTTCATGTGGTCCGATCCCGTTCAGAAAAAACAGGAAATTTAAGGTTTGCATTTTTAAAATGAATAACGTTTTTTTATAACGTAAGTTTAACTATGTAAATATTCGTACATTTCCAACTTTTTAAAAAAGTTCCTTTTTAATAATTATTTTAATAATCTTTAATTCCATATTAATTAAGTTGATGCTTGCCACAGAATAAGCAATTATTCACTGTTGAAAAAAAATTATGTGATGTGTGTATTATGTACTTTCAACTGAACTAATTTTTTTTTATGACTGATGGTTTTCATTAAATGAATTACCATTATAAACTAATATAAAAAGAAATGATCCTTTTAAAAATATAATATTTAAAAATTAACACCTGAAGGGATAGAGCAATTGTACTTTTATAACGAATAAAATGTGGTTTACATATTAAAAAAGAAAAACACAAATTTCCTATTCCCTACTAATTCCTCCACCTCGCCTCGAATTGCTTACTTTTCTGCGTGAAATGAACCTATATGTTCCTATGAAAGTTCCTCAAGATTTTAAGAGGATAAATCAGTCCAAGAATGGACTGATTAAAATTTATGGAATGGCAGAATTGAGTTCATGAAGAAACAAAAAATGGCTACATATATAATTGTGTTCCCATCTCCCGCTTCCGGGTTTTCCCGGGTCAGTTCTAACAGATAATTAACTGTTCTGTTATATTATCCGACAGAATTCAGTGTGTATTGATTGAATACATCAACCTAATTACTATTACTCTGATAAGTAATTAATCCAGGATTAAATAATATTTATTGACGGTTCCCATATAGCCTTCCAGTGTAATAGTTCATTTCATCCAGTACCTTATCTTATCTCGAGACCTGTTTATTTAGCGTAGTTAGGATAGGCTCAGTGAAGAACTGAGCTTATTTCCAACATAGCAACCGGTTGCTAAGGTTCGCACGAGCTTCAGTTCAAAGTTCAGGGCGCTAACAATCACCGAATTTCAGTTTTTCGAATTTTTGGCTGAGGTAGTTCAGTGATGAAGTATTGAAATAGAAGTTTTAAATATGAAAGTATTGTTTTTGTTAATTACATGAATGTGAGAAAAAGGATAAACCTTGTTGATCTGTAACGAGTGGCTCATCCATAATAGTAAAGGTTTTGTAAAGATATAAGTGGAAGGGAGCATTGGAGGCGATGCGTACTGACAATAGATGTACTATCTAGACACTGTCATGACACTTGCATACTAACTGCCTACTTGGACGGGTGAGTCAGAGTTGACATCACGTGACCCCGGGAACGGTGAACTTGTTGACGTTCCCCCTCCACCGCCCCCCGCGGCCGGGTGGTGGGGGGACCTGCCCCGCTTTCAGCCCAGTTCTATACCCACCTTCTCTGTGTCTGTTTCTATCGCCCCGCTCTCTATAATATCTGTTATATCAGTTTTTTTATATTTTATTTCATTATATTTTTTTTTTGTAGTTTCTTTTTTTTTTCTCTGTGATTTGTGAAGTTCAGTGAGTGCCACCTGGCGGGATTTATACTTGGAATAAGGTAACAATACAATCTTAGACTATAGCGCTGTAGCGACCAAGGCCACCCCCTCCACGGTCGAAAGGATTGAGATTGTGTCGATTGCAGTTTTGTATTGGAATGGTCCAATCCTCAGCCTGCGGAGGCCATATTTAGACACGGCCCCCCCTCCACTGGCATAACGGGACCACTCATTATCTCTTAGATGGATATTTCGCAAATAATGATAATTACGCTTTGTGTATTCTTCTTGTCGGTTCAAAGGGTTACGTGGAAGAGCTGCGAGGGAGGCCATTCCAGCGATGGCGGAGTTTGAAAAGCTCTTTGTCATCGCTCCAAGGTTACCACACCTGCTCTCTCTTCATCCGGTTCTCTCCGTGTTTCCTGTCCTATGCACTCTATTAATAGTGAACGCCTCCAATACCATTTCGCTCATGATGGTCCCATGGCTCTTTTAATGGAGTAAAAAAAAAAAGTTTTCATGGCTGTTATCATTTTGACGTGATTAGCTGAAAACTGGCAGATGGCTTGTCTGATAAACTCAACATTATCTGTATATGATGATAATGATACGTGCTATACATTTTTAATATAGTAACACTAATGGGGGGGAGGGAGGAGGGAAAGACGCCTTCGGGCTGAAGCCTCAAAGTGGAAAAATATATCTTTTGTTTTAGTGAGCTAAGTTGAATACTTAAACAATAAAAATAGATTCTCTTTTTAAATTATGATTTATATAAAGCTGCGAAATGTAAACGACGTATCAAGAAATAATATTATAAATTTATCTAGAATAGCATTATTGTTCCTGTGGTTCCAGCATTATTCTTCCAGAAGTACGTCATCATCTCGTAAAATTAAATTAAAAAAAGCCTCTCTTACAAAATAAAGCCTGGATCATTTACTGTGTACTATCAACAAATAAACCAAATTAAAAAAAAAATCTAATTAGTAATTCACTTTTTTTTCTGTGTTCTTGAATTATTATAAAACATTACGTTCTTCGAATTCTTTAATTATGGTGGAGATTTATTTGCATATTTCAATTATACACGACTTCATAGAACTAATTACAAAAAGAAAGGATTGATTTTCAAATATCAAATAAAATCAGTATTTTTTTTTCTCTCAAATTATTCCAAATTACTGATGTTACCATTTTTTTTTTTTATATTATCTCATAATCACAAAGATAAGGCGCGTATTTCAAAAATAAATTGTTTTTTTATTTATCATCTTAACTAATTAAATATTTGAACTACATTTCTCCTTCTGTTTAAGGGGTCTAACCTCAAAGCAGGTAAAAATATTTTGAATGGAATTAGTGAACATCATTTTCGACAGAAAGGCCATCTCTTTATTCTTTATCATATCTTCGACCGATTAAAAAAAAGTGTTGTAAATAGAATGCGACATTTCATTAAAAATGTATTTAATTATTGAACAATTTATTAAAATAATAGCTATATTTTGGGGTGGATAAAATTAGGTTTGTGATAAATTAAATGTCTTATTTGAAAGCTTCCGAAATTTCCAATGCCATTCATTACATTTACTTCATCATAACGTGTAGAATGTGGATTTGTTCTATTAAATGCCATCCATTTATGTTAATATTTGACTGAAAATGTTTAAAATATAACGAATACTTAACAAGGAGCTGTGAAGAAAACAATTAATATTGCTAACTGTGTCGATTATTCAATGAAAATATGAATCGGTTAAATAAAATGGTTGATACCTATTGAATATTGAATTCTTTGGATTAAAATATTTATATGATGGACACCAGTCGTTAAACAATTAGGCATAATTAACTACACAGGTTTTATTACATTGATTAGATTATAATATAAAAATTAATAATTTTTTTTTAGTTTGATTATATCCAGCTTAACTTAAATAATGCCCTAATCAAGAAGTTTCAGCTACAAATCCTTGTTGCATCCAATAATTATCTTTCAACTTAGATTTTTCATGTGAATTCCATTGTCTATTGTATCTAAATATTCGAAATTGATTCGTATTCCCTGTATCCATTCATTGCAAAAATTCAATATTTACAAATTTAAATGATGCTTAACTTTTGAGTAGGTTTTTTTTTTTTTTGCTAATTTCGACCTTATTTATCGATATTGAAACATAATAAGCATATCAAAATTACGTAAACCCTTTTGTATATCAAACGTGGTTATTATAAGAGCATAGTGTTTAAATTTCATGTAGAGTCGATTCCTCAGACTATTCAGTGATTTATTTCCTTGAAACGTTTTTTAATAACTTTTTGCAATTAACGAATGAAATGCTCGTTTTGTTCTACTAATTATTAAATTATATGATAATTGAAAACCATTAATTTGAATAGCTAAATGTACAATTGTGTTTGAAGGCCATATCTTTGTCTTGAACCTCTTACACTTCCATATTAAAAGTTATGTTTCTAATTTTATTATTCGAGCAATATCCAAATTCACATCAATCACAGGCTCGAATTTGTTCAATACATTAACATTTTAGTTAATTGATTCACTTATTGTTCAATAATTTAGTTAATTAAGTTACAGTTTATTCTGATTGTATTCGGGTCATGTTCCTGACCTTGTTTAATATTAATTACGGTCGCATTTATCTCGACCTCCAATTGGAATGAGTGTAATTCTATTTATAAAATACGCAAGTAAATAATTTTAATTTGTGGTTCAATTGAATCTATAATGGAATTATTTAAATGTACAATTTAAACATTCCATTTCGAATATCAGCTCATTTCAATTATTAAAAAAAAACATTTTAAACTTTAAACGTATAATCGACCCACATTTCTCTCCTGAATAGCTGTAATTATGATTTCTTTTTTTAATCTTTACCAGGGACACATTTTATCATTATTGCACAAATTACTACTCGTCATAAGTAACGTAAATTGCTTTAGCTCTTATTGCATGGAGTTAAATATAAATTGTATGTTACAAGATAAAAATGAATAGTTGGGCTCTTGGCAATAATTTGTGTAGTTTATTGGTCTGTCAACAAATAAAGTTTTAACATAGAGATAAGTAAATGTAAGATATTATGAGAGGAAAAAATTAATTTACCTTAAAAATTATTTAGCAAAATATGTTTACAAATTATAACTGTCATTGTCTTTGCTGATAATCGTCCGATTTCGACTATTTTTTTAAAAAAATTTGTTGAAAATTTGGAAACATTTCGAATTTTCACTTTTATAATTCACCATTAATTGTATTCTTTTTTAGTTTCTTTTTCTTCATCACTTTTCTGAAAGATATGATTATATTTAACAACTGAAGAAGAAAATAATCTACATAATTATGGTCCAATCACCAATGATTGAATCTATCAAATTCATATTTGATAAAGAATTAACAAATGTATTTACTGTATGTATGTACTGATCAATAAACACCTTACAGTAATCATATATGAAGATTAGTCCAAAGAAACATCTGTGACTGAATTTTATATTATATATTCCTTGAGTAAATATGGATATGTCATTCTAATTATTACCATTTTTTTTTTTTTTTTGTGTTCGGTTATAACAGTTATTAATAAATTAGTCTTGTCTATTTGTATTCTTGAGGTATTGGGATGTAATTTTTTAGAAAATCCTGAAACTAAAAACATATTCCTTCAAAAATTTATTTTTATGACATAATAGCTGTCAGACCATCTTTAGTTAATTTGGCGTTTTTAAGTGGAGTTTGTGAAAAATAAATAAAAAACACCATAGGTTTAATTGATCAACAATTTTTTTTAATATTTGGAGCTGATGCGGGGAAATAAAAAAAACTAATAAAATGTTTTTGTAATATTTTTAGAAACAAATTTAGTTTATGAAAAAGTTTAATTGTAAGTATTTTTTTCCCCTTCTTTTTTACCAGTTCTATAAACTTTTGGAAAATTTATTTAATTTAGTTCTCATTTCTGTATTTTTCTTTAATACATTAAGATAGATATCATAGAAAATAATGTTTCATTGCAGATCTGAAGATCTTTTTAATACATAAAAATAGGTTCCCAGATTATAACCTCAAAAAAAAAAATAGGTGTATGAAAATAGCTAAGAAACTGAAGACAATTTTTTTGTTTAATACTAACTGGACTTTCTTTTTATATTTAATTGATACTTACATGAATTACGTTGTTTAGAAAAAATAATTCAATACTTAAAATCCTCATATATAGGCTGTTATACCTCTTAAAAAATTTAATACTCTTGTAAGGATTTGAATGCCTTGAACTGAAATATAGGCACCCAAACCCTTATGGATTGAAGTGAAATTGAGGTATATTTCTGATATATTACCTTTAAAAAGGGGGAAGAAAGCAAAAATTAAATACAAAGGAAATTAGTGGTCAATTGAATTATTTCCGATTGGCTGTTTTGTTGAAATTGGCGAGTATAGAAGGCAGTTATGACAAAAAAAAAAAAAAAAAAAAAAAATGCACAGGCCATTTCAGATAAGCTTACATAGAATAGTCAAAAACAGCAGTGTAACACCAGTAGATAGCAATCTTTAATTTTGACCTACAGCCTTTAATTTTGGCTACATGAAACATATGAGTTATATCAGAATAATACCTGCTTTTTGTGAATTATCCAAAAGTACCAGAACCATTTCCACTGATTTAAGTATTACCGTACCGTTGATCAAACCTATTATCAGCGGTGACAAAATTTTCTCACTGTCTAAGTGTTTAGGGATCCGTTCAGCGTAAAATCATTCTAATTAGACTTATCTAAATTGTGATAGTTACAGAAGAAACCTAACGAGCATAAATGTTCCGATTTTACGGCAGTGTTTTGTCGGAAGTTCCCGATCAATCCGGCTCTTAATGTTTAGAAAGTGGGTACCTGCCTAAACGGTGGAATGAGGAGAAAGTTCCGGTTCAAACTTGTTGTTAACTACTGATTGGTCTCGAAACTTTATCAATTTGTCTTCGCAATGTTTTTCGGCTAGCATTGTGCTACAACCTTCGAAAATTCTCAACTCGACAATCATGTTCTAAAACATATTTTTCTAAAATAAAATGATTTATACGTGATAGAAAGCGCATCTAAAATAGTCTATATTTTAATCAAATAATATTCAATTCACTTATTCTTGCTATAATTCTATGTTAAGTTATGAAACAGTTTATTTTACATAGGTACTGGTTGTAGTAAAACTTTGGTCCCTCTCTACAGTTAGTTGTTTTTTCCAAAATACTTCTTATATGAAACACCCATTTGTAATAACTTATTTTTTAATGATAAAAAAAAAGTAACAGAATGCCTAAATTTTCTTTCTCATACGTGTTCGGTAA